TACTCTCTATTTCTGGAACTACGTCATTCACAGGACAAGTTGTTTCTGTTATGAATGTTAAATGGCGAGAAAAGAGATACAAAGCGTCACTAATAAAACACTAACTTTTTATTTATATAACTACTACCACTACCATAGTTAACAGTGATCTGTTAAAAACTATGAAAAGTGCCAAAAGATATATTTTTTTTTATAAGAGAAATACATACGAAAGAAAAAATATGTATACTTAAAAAGCGTTCCTACTTTTTCTTTTAAATAAAATACTTTAATAATTTGAAGCGTACTATTTTTTCTTAGTTTTTTTATGAAAAAGTACTATAAATATCTTAGAAAATGTTGGCAACCCTACCCCCACCGCCCATTATTTAATGCATTCAGAGTGCACGCCCTCAGTTATTATGAACCAACTAAGACCACAAAATAGTCTCTGCCTTAAAAATGCAGTTAAGGATCCTTCTCTCGCCAACTCGTCAGCGACCTTATTGCTTTCGATCCCACAGTCGCACAGTAGTTCATCTATCATTTTTGTAATTATGACTTGCAATGGGTGCAGGGCATTAAAACTTAACTGATCTGCATTAGGAATACTTATAAATGTCACCACTAGGCTTTATGTAGCACGACTTTTGGTTCAAATATATGAGAGTATGTATATTAGGGTGGTGCAAATAAAGTAAAGGTGGAATTTTAATGCTCTCACCCCATATGATTGTTCTTTATCGAAAAAAATATATCCCTATTTTTTTTTATCAAAAAAAGGGGATATATTTTCTTCGGTATAGAACCGACTTTACTTTTTCACATGCATTTTTGGACCACCATAATATATATTCTTTATCAATACTCCTTCCAAATCCTAGCTATTTCTGGAAGTTAAATAAGAACTCTTGTCAAGTTGGGTTTAAAGATAAATCCATTTCGATATTGAGCCATTTTCAATTTTATGATTTAAAAATGAAACTTGACATGTGATGATGGGAATTCGTACGAAAATGCATCGTTTTGTTATACTGTTGAAAGAATCAACCAAGCAAATATGTGAAGTTACTTTTTCTTGACGGGTACTCCGAATAAGTAAAATTATCAGCGCAATTTTCCAAAATTTTAAGCAGATCTCACAAGTGTAAATACTTCTATTGAATAAAGTTATTTTGTTGAGAAAAAACAATTTATTAACATCCGCTTTAGAAGAGTACTTTCAAAGCTTCGAAAATTTAGTGAGTCATCCTAATGCAATTTAACACGTGCTAAAAATAGCCCACTAAACGCGATCAATTAATTGTTCAACTAAAATAATCCACACATTTATATACATATGTATGTATGTATGTATGTATGTTCATATACTGGATTGGATTTCATATACAAAATGAATGCATGTCTTGTGATAAGTGCGGCGTTGCTCAAGGAAGGAGTAAAGAATTTTCTGGAAAAACACTCGAATGTTGAGCTCGAAAGCCTTGGGATAGGGGAAAGAGTTTGAATTTATGTCGATAACAGGATACTCTTGCTTGCTAAGTAATGAATTTGCTGTTAAATTAACGTACCAGGTTTCAAAGAGAATCCTTGCTAATAAAAGGTTAAAAAATAGCACTTAGAAAAATACCAATACAAGAACGAAAGCAAAGGTGAAAAGGAAATAAAAAGGAAGGTGAAAGGAAATATGTAGATGAAGAAAATGATAAACATAAAAGTAAAAACAAATATAAATATAAAGGAAAAGATGAGGATACCGAAATATACAGACGAAGATAGAGGAAAAAAGATTAAAATAAAGGTAATTATGGAGAAAATGATATAGATAGAGACACAGAGACTCATTGTGGGAACTTTTTTGGAATTTTAGAGATTTTCGGGATTCTCGGGACTTATGGATATAATAATCGATCATTTTATCGGTCTTGCTATCGGAATTTTTATCGATATTGTTATCAATATTTTTATCGATTTTGTAATCGATACTTTTAACAATTTTTTTATCGCCATTTTTTATAAATATTGTTACTGGTTTTGTTATCGAATTTGTTATTGATATTTTTATCGATTTTGTTATCGATAGATGTTGTTATCGATTTTTTTATTGTCTTTGTCATCGATTGTTTATCAATTTTGTTAACGATATTTTCATCGATATTTTTATCAACTTTTATTACCAATTTTGTTATCGAGTATTTATCCATTTTATTATCGATATTGTTATCGATATCGTTATCGATTTTGTTATCGATTTTTAATATTGTTATCGATTTTGCTATCGAAGTTTTTATCGAATTTGTTATCGGTTTTATTATCGATATTTTATTGATTTTATTATAGAATTTGTTATCGATTATTTATAGATTCTGTGGTAATTGTGCACTTCATGGTCTTCACCGAAAACTGATGCAAAATAATCGATACCAAACGACGCGTATTACTAGCAGTATTAAGATTCCGAAGGCGGATACATATTTTTTTACACCGTTCAAAAGTTAAAAACGGTTTTAGTACTGAAATTACATCAATAAATGCACGAAATGAACGCATATTAATATCCCGATGTTCACCATTCTTTATTTTACCCGAATTTGTAACAAAAAACCACGAAACTTAATGATTTATTGATATATTAATTTGAAAACCACATATCGCCTGGGTAAAAGATTGTCGTATGTTAATTTCGGCAGGCTGTGGGAAATCGCGATTGAAGTTTGGAATGCAATTTCCTAAAAACGCGAAGATAGATTTTCCCCAAAGTCTCTGCAAATGTTACTAGTTCACAAAATTCTTAAATTAATTAATTTCTAATATTTATTGTAAATTAGTTTTGAGTTTATGAAGGATTTTATTTAGTAAAATTTTGTCGTAAGTGTCAGGAGAACGCCATTTTTAAGATATTGATTAGTTTAATATGGCTGCATCACTAACTAAAATTTTACTAAATTATCGAAAAAATTGTAGTCAATATCTTGGAAACTAAATGAGATTTCTAAAAACTGATAACACCAATCGAAAGACCTTATTTCAAAATATATAACTGCATTTAGAACTAAAAGTCGTCAAAATGGCGCTTACGACAATCTTTTACCCAGGCAACGGTATGTAAACCCGGCGTCTTCTTTTTATTCCGCTAGTTGTAATAAAAACATGGAGGTGCTTGGCCTTGCCAATTCATCAATAATAGAAAAGGTTTAAAGCAGGGATGCCAACAAAAAAAACACACAAGATTTTGAGTTTGGTAATATTTTAGATAGTAGACACGTATTTTTAGTAATCTAGAATTTGTTTGAGAATAAACATTTTTGTGGATATTTCGAGTAGCGAAATATAAATCCTGTGTTTCACTTGCCTACACTTGGTGTGAACAACTGGCAGAACTTACAACTTACAACTGGCAGAATACAGGAGAAATTCGCGAAACTTTTTGGTCCCTCGAGCCAATCTGACAAACCTTTGTAGCACCAAATAAGAAAAAGAAGTCGGTCTCTTTTCCTTTTCCTGGAGAAAAAAAAACTTTACTACTCGGCTTAAAATGAAAGTTATACTCGTTTTGACTGCCCTATTTGAAGACCATGTTCAGCGCATTCATTACGCGGTTTGTAGTTGTGTCCTCAAACAGCAAAGCCCTTCTAAACTAAGATTAAGATTGGGATAGAGATTAAGATTGAGGTTAAGAATAATACTGAAATTAAGATTTGGATTGGGATTCGGATTAAAATTATTCGTGATTAAAATTAAGAATGAGATTTAGATTAAGGATAAGGACAAGATTAAGATTGAGATAAGCATGAAGATTAAGATGAAGATTGAGATTGAGATTGAGATTAAAAGTAAGAACAAGGTAAAGAAGAAGACTAAGATTAAGATTGAGACTAGGATGAGGATTAAGATTAAGATTAAGGCGAAGATTAAGATAAAAAATTTAAAATTAAAAAAACTTAATAGAAAAAAGTTAAATTGAGAAAAGAAAAAATCAAAAAAAAAAATTCTAAAACTTAAACGAAATTTAAAAATATAATTTTCTTTTTAAAACAATAAAATAAAAAAATGTTAACAAAAACTAATTGCAAAAGAAAACAATAAAATGAAATAAGCTCCTGAAAATTAAATTAAATAAAAAGAAAGGTAATTTTTAAAACAACCCTGAAAATTAAAAAATATATTAAATCACAAAAAAAAGAGAAGAAAACATGTTTCCGAAATGAAATGAAATTAATAAAAAAAAAATGTTTTCCTCTTAAAACAATAAAATCTAAAGATCAAAAGCAAATTAAATCAAAAAAGGAAACACATTATTAAATTTGTAAAACAAAGTTTCTGAAAATTCAATGATATTAAAATAAAATGTTTCTTTCTAAAACAATACAATCAAAAATATAAAAAAAATTGATTACAAAAGAAATAAATTAAATTTAAAAACGAACAAAACAGGTTTCAAAAATTAAATGAAATCTTCAAAAACTCTAAATCTGGTTATAACTACTTAAACATCATTATCGACGTTTTCGACAACATACATGTAACATGTAAAAACCGGTTTATGTTAACCGGACATTGAACAAACGGCCATTAGAGTGACATCATAACATAAATGCGTTTTTTTAGGAAATTTATTAAAAACAAAAAAAAACAAAAACAAGAAGAATCCATTCTCATCTTAATATAATGACACATTTCTCAATAGATAATACAAAATTTATTGTTGCATTTATCTTTTTAAGAAGTCCACAACAACAAAAACTTGCTACATAATGATTCACTACCCTCGTTTCAATGACTAGCATTATCTTTTTGGGGTAATTAGCTAATGTTAAGCAAAAGACAATCAATTTAATTAACAACAAATGAATCAAAGATTAAATGAACTTAACCAGCTTGAACAAGGCGCTATCGGATTCCAATTGCACTTGGTATATAAGAACTACCATTTCGAATGAAATCAAGCAGTTTAGAACAAATTGATTAAGTGACTGTGTCTTTGCCAGTCGATCGCAGAGCCGCGAATTAGCACACTAAATATGTTATTATTGAAAAAAATTGTCTACACTAAAGCATTTTCCACCTTTATTATCAACCTTCAATTTCTCACTTTGGTGCGCGCAAGAGTTATAAACGAATGCTCAACAGTCACATCAGAAACTTCGGAATTTATATATAATCCGAACACGGCTTGCAATTCATTATATCCATATATTTATTGTAACTCCACATTATCGACCTACTGTACACTTGAGCAATGCATGGAAGAGTACGAATGCGAAATACAAGGTGTAATTGGTGCGCCAGTCGATGGTAGTCCGACACCCTCTTCAGCGCCGTCTGCTAATAATCCAACCACGTCCACAACAACTGGCTCGTCAACCTCCCGCGTAACTCCGTCGACGCCCGCTGCTACGTCAATCACAACGACTACTTCTTTGGTGCCAACCAGCGCTCCCATTACAACGACAACTGTTAATATGAGAGTCACTTGTCATGCTGGCGTCACGGGCAATTATCCTTACCTAAGCAACTGCCGTTACTACTATCGATGTTCCAATGGCTATCACTGGCTGCAGGATTGTGGATTTAGTATGTCCTTCGATGTGATCGATGGATATTGTAAGAGCACGAAAGTGGCGAGGTGCTCAACGGAAAGTAGGCGTGAAAGTTTTTGGTAAAGAAAAAGTAGAAACTAAATTTCACTTCCTTAAAATATATGCATACATAAATATACATATATAGTAGCACAGTAAATAATTAATTACATAAACTTTGATACGAGTATTGTATCAATTGCTTGGTTTTCTAATTTGGAGAAAGCGTTAAGGCCAACTAATAGCTATACAGAGTCGCCTTGTTTGCAATCTCGGTTTCGTTTTTTGTCGATTGGCTCGGAGAGGTCCTTCACCATTTTAACGGAGGTGTAGGTTACGCTAAACGTTTCGCTATCCCAAATTGCGTCGCACTATAATCAAAAGTGGATTCAAAGTCGAAGAAAATGTGGTGTCGCCTTTAAGCAGTATAGCGCTACTTATGTAATGGGCAAAGTACGCTTTCACTTCAGTTTTCGGAGATATTTTCAGTCGACTAATAGTCTTTCAACTTACCACGTTTTTTTTTCTAAGACAAAAGTGTTTCGTAAGACAAATTGTTAATTCTGGCGAGATTCTTGAAATCTTTTTTCTGGCTTTCGATTCATTTGTTTGCTGCTTGTAGGCTTAGGAAATCAGTAAGTTTCCTATCGTAAGAATTACACATAATTTTTGCAAGTTTGCAGCCCTGAGCTCTTTTCCAAAGCCTATCTGCTTGGCGGTATATGAGGAGATCTTATGATATTTCCCCCGAGATAAATTGGTATATTCGTGGTTAGTGAGGCGTCTAACATAAAGCTCTTCTTGGCTAGCTCGTCAGCTCTGTTATTACCTTCCACACCTTTGTGTCCTACGACCCAATATAGGTGGACGGTTTTAGCCACAGCTAGCCAACTTATAGCCTCCTTACAGTCCGCGACGGTGATCGAATTTGTTTCATATGAAAGTAGAGCCTCAATGGCCTCCTGACTATCTGTAGCTGCATTTTTTGTTGTAAGCGAGCGACAAAAGAACGCTCAACTTGGGTGAAATTTCCTTCCAGCTACTTAAGCAACCCTACTGGTAGCTGGCAAGAAACATGTGATAAGTTCAACGGTATTCACACAACACAAAAAACAATAGAAATTGGTAATTAAATATGCGAGGTATTTGCGTAATATATGTATATATTTGTTTAAAATATAAATAATGTATATACGAAAACAAAAATTTCCCTCTCCACTTTCCCATTAAGAATTCACAATAGAGCAGTTTTTTCACTTAACAACACTACTCTTCAGGTCACGTGTTTTTTAACCGACCTGGCTGAACTCGGATAAATAGCCGAGTTTGTGTTGTTGCTTTGCGTGTATTTCGTCATTTAAGCGAGTGTTCTTTTGTAGCTCGGTTGCAAAAGAATGGACCTTAGGTAAATGTTTATTTGCTCGCTTGTCGTGTTAATTTCGTGTAGTATCTCTGTCCTTTCTTTTATTGCAAAAAACCTCAGCTCAGACATATGAATTACCGGTGCTATGCAGTATTCTGCAGTTCCTACTCCTTTTTTCATTTTTGAACCATCTGTATAGACCTGCGTTGCATTCCCTTTCCACTTCATGGCCTTACGCTAACCGCTACTTCTATTGTAGCTTCTAGAAACCTTCCGAAACTCAGACGCGGGATCACGTTGTCTATTTCCCTGGTTAAGGATTTGTGTTCATTTTCGTTTCTGTTCACCATACCAGTACCCCAAAAAAATAGCACTGGCTTAACGATTGCCGTGAAAATCCAGTGCGAAAAAGCAGGAGAAAGAGCAGCCCAATCTTTGGGGAGCACATGGCTGCTTTTACCTACTTCTGGCAAGAAGATGAGTCGTGCGTCCGCGCCTATGGCTGACTACTTGTTGTCCAATGAGCATACAGTAATTTATTTTTAAACTAACTGCACTGGTTTCAAAAAACCATCGATAGTGACTAAAGCATTGGCCCCATCGATGACATCGATGGTTCCATCGATGGTTTTGCAGCACTAGTTTGTACAATTCGAGAGCATTCCCACGCACTTTTTTTCTGGCTTTCTAGAACTATAAGACTTATTGATCATAGACTTAGAAGTGTTTCTTTCTTTCTTGAAGAATTGTTTAGTCGAATTTTAATCATTTTTAAAAACGTATGGTAAGTGAATGTATGAATGTGCAAAGGCTTGTATCTAATCGGTAAATTTTAGACGATAACGTCCATTGCCTTTTCTCTGTTTAATTGACTTTACATAAATTAATTGTAGGGCACGATAGTAGTTTTAACAGCAATTTGTAGGCGATATCGATCGCGCAATAGCACATAGAATTATAAGAAAATACATTATGAAATTATCTGACTTCTTCAGTGTATTGAAGTGGATTGTTTGGCGTTATCACTGATTATTTGGCTTAAAACGGTTACACTGAGAGAAAAAAAAAACACATTTTAAACAAATACTTGTAGCTCCTGTAAAATTTTAAGGAAAAATCACTTGCCACAACAAAAAAAAAATCTTTAATACACGAATATCGTGTTTATTTCAACAATTTTCTCATTGTTGAACTAACAGCGCCACTCTTCGCATAACAGTTGACACGCTGTTAAAAATAAACAAAAGTAAAACTGTTGACAACAAATGTAAAGTAGTTCGATTAAAAATTTTCGCTGTTGAATTTCAGTTCCAAAAGCCACGCTGTTGACTTAAAAGTAAATCTTTGCGCCAACAACGAAATTCACAGAAGTATCGGTACTTCTAAAAGTAAAATTTTCTTAACAACGGCATTAGTAATTGAAATTACCGCTGAACTTGTTGAGAAAATTAAAGACGCGTCATTTTTGTGGCAATTGATTTACAAAGCAGACGTTCCTTTCAAGTTTAAAAATATGGATTTGAATATTATAAGTGTGTCCGGAGAAGTTTGTGAAAATTCATGTGAAAGTCAGCAAGGTATTGGAACCTTATGTTGAACTTTGAAAGTGATATACTACATATTTGGAATGGGAGTTATCTAGCAACGTCATAAAAATTTTGTCTGAGTGTTTAATTAAATTTGTGGGGATATTAAAAATGATGTGCAATCACGATATTGATGAAATTTTCAACAGCAGGACCATCCACGCTGTCAAATGATATCAATATAAGTAAGTATTGAAAAGCTGGATATTATCATATCACTTTTATCAAATCACTTTAATTTGCTCAATTGACTGCACTCAATAATATTACCTCCTCGAATCAGTAAGATATCCAAGCCATCAATATCTATCGCTCAAAAAGACATGATAGTATATTTAGTAAATTTATTTAAATAATTTCAAACAAAAAAAGATGAAACGAAGGAGCGTGCCATTCAAGAAAAGTTAAAACTACAGCCCAAAGTTTTTGTTATTGGTGATTCAGTCGAAAATCTGTTAGAGTTTTACGTCTATTTGGACGGCTTAAGCTACAAGGTACAAACCTCACTTCGTGGTAATAAAAATATGTTTCATATTTAATTTAGAATATTCATTAAAAAGCAAATATGGGTGGATTTTTTTTACAAGAATTTATATTTGAAATCTCTTCTGAAGAGAAAATTCCAAATTTACAAAATATTTTTTCTAAACTAAATAATGTCCAGTGAAAAGTACTTATTCCACCAACGCTCATATTTGCTCTATTTGTAATAACTTTTTCACGCTGTCAAAAAATTTAATTTTTCATTTTAATGAGAAACATAAAAGTCCAATAACATATCAGTATGATGTAATGTGTAACGATTTTCCGTCATCCCTTGTCAAATTTGGTTTGGAGACAAACCGGTTTCGGCGTTGTGCCACCGGTTTGACAAGGGATGACGGAAAATCGTTCCACATTACATCACACTCCTACTCTGTCGGAAAGACCAACAACGAAAATGAGAACATATCAGTACTTATTGCAATAATTATCTTTTAATTACCAAATATGTACAAAATAAACTTACATTGTTTACTTTATTATATTGTATACATATAAACTTAAAACGCTTAAACAAAAATTTCTTTCAAACCAAAACCAATCAATTGAGTTTACATAAAAATTTTTCTCAGTGTAATCCAGAAAGATTGCACTTTTTCTCCAACAGTTTTCACTTTTTTCCCAACAAATAAGTATTTGAATCAAATACGTAAGTTCTTTCCGCCAAAGGTGTTCGTCGTTGGGACCTCGAAAATCCATGTATTTAATTCAACAGCTTCATACTTTTGCGGCAACTACCTGCACTGTTAACTCAAATTAAAAGTATTTAAAACAACAATTTATACAGTTTTTATCTAAATGCGAAAATTGTTTTGTTAAGTACAAATTTAGTTAAAAAAAAAAAAATCGTTGTAAAAAATCAACAACCTTTGCGCTGTTGCTTCAAATACGAGTAGTGGTTTGGTACAATTTAACCAATAAAAGTTGTTCCTAATACATATAAAATTGGCGGATGTACAGTTTTTTTCACGGTGTAGCTATAGCTACCGTGCATGAATGTATGTATGTATATGTAAGTACATATACTTTTACTCAAATCGGAACTATCGCTTTTGTAAACTGATATTGGTACTTGACTGATACTTTCCGTTTTATTTCTACCCATTATTCTTTTTAATGCAGTGGAACGCACTAAAGAAAACCACTTTAAAGCATGCCTACTTAACATTGAATGAGTCCGGCGTTATCTTCGATATGTGTAGGTAAGTATTAGTGGGTAAAGGTATTTAATATTTATTTTTTTTTTTATGGCGGAACTTCCATAAGCTATACTAATAATTACGACGGTTTTTCCAATAACTACTTTTGAGTACATACACATATTTTTTCAAATAATAAACAATCGGTAGATCTTTCGTGTTCTACATACAAATATATGAATATTGTAGATAAGTGTAAGTGATATTTCGAGTTCCTGGAAACTGAAACTCGACATTGGTGATTCGTTCTTTGACAAACTGCTTAGATCATTTGATACGTAAATCTTTTATAGTTCTATGTTCATCATATTCGGCTTGGCAGTTTCTATATGTTCAAAAACACACTTATATGAGTTTGAATACCTATTAGTTATGT